AAAACAAAAACAAATATAATCAGATCATTAAAAATGTCTCAATCTTCAACTTCTAACCCAATGTACAACCTAAAGCAAATCAAATCTAACACCAAAAAAAAAAATGTAACACAAAAAAACTACTTAATGGATCTAATACATAATATAATGTAACAAAAAAATGTAAAGCAAACACATTGGCAGTAATACAAAATATAATGTAAAGTGAATTCTGTAAAGCGATAGAATGACTCACATTTTGTAAAGCAGAAAAAATGTAGCACAAAATATAATGTAAAGCAAAAATATACCGATGCCTTGGCAGTAATAGAATGACTCACATAATAAAGTGAATTATGTGTCTACAATCTGGTGTACATGTAATAAAATGGCTCACATAATAAAGTCTAACACACAGAAAAAAAAAAAACACAAAAATACACATAAACAGATCTAATAAATTTTTTAAAAAAAATTAGATCTAACACAAAGAAATAAAACTTCAAAAATAAAAATTATATGTAATATAAACCCAACAATCCTCAAAACCCATATGATATCTGTTTATTATTGTTGTTAAATCTCACCAAAACAAATTTTTTTGATCAAACTAAAAAATTTTGAAAACCCTAGATCTAAGGACTTACCTTGGTAAGAGAGATGCAGCTGCTATGAATAACCTTGGTGAGAGAGCTTCAGATGAGAGAGACGAACTACTGAACGCCTGGAATGAAGCCTGGACCTCCTTTGCTAGAACGCTTGGAACGCCTCTGCTGAACGATGAGATGAGAGTGACAATGAGACGAGAGAGACGATGAGATGAAGGTTTAAATAATTTTGCTTTAGGATTTTTTGGAAGAAGACTTTATTTGTTCCTAACAAGAGTCAATGGTGGGATCTCATTAAATTGAATTCTGTCCGTTTCCCCCTTTTTTTTTTTTGGGAAACTGTTTTTTGTCATTTCTAAAATCTGAGGCAAGTTTGAAAACGATTTTAGTTTTAAAAAAAACTAAAATGGTTCCCAAACGAGGTTAAGTTTTAGATTTTCTTAAAAATTGAAAACAAAAAATGAAAAAATTGAAAACCAAACCGTTACCAAATGGAACCAAACAACTCCTAAATTGGGAATTATATTAGTATTAACAACTCATATCTTGAAAATTGCGCTAGCATTTAAATTATATTTTTATCTATATATATATATATATATATAAACAGTAACACAAAAAAATAATAATATCAAACAGTAACACACAACAAAAAAATAATAACATCAAACAATAACATGTTTAATAAAAATTTAATCACTATAATAGAGTGACAACCCCACAACAGAATAAACACTCACATATGGTGTCACTTTATTGCAATGATTAAATTTTTAATTAAATTTTTTATTGAACATGTTAATGTTTGATGTTACTATTTTTTTTTGTTAAGCGTGTTACTGTTTGATATTACTATTTTTTTGTTGAGCGTGTTATTATTTAATATTACTAATTATTTTTCTATCTCATATATATGAGATAGAAAAATAATTTTAATGTTAGCACAATTTTCAAATTAAAGTTGTTATATTTGAAAACATTAAAACTAACAATGATAGATAATATTTATGGTAAGGGTAATTATGGAATACATTTCAAAAAAAAATTTGAAATATTTTAAAATGTGTACTTATTGACAACTATTTGATGAAAAAAATGACTTAATAGATTATAAGTTTGAAGATAATACTTAAAGCCAAATAAGGTCTACAAAAGGTACTCACAGTCAATTATCCCTTTTAAATACATTATTAGCCCACAAAAAAAATTTAAATCCATTAATTCTTAACTCCTAAAAAAAGCTCCAAAAAATTAGGTCCAATCAAAATTTTTATTATAATAATTTAGATCCATGATCCAATTCATAACATTAAAATCTTAAAAATTAGAAGTTAAAAAAATAAAAAAGCACTCAAAAGTCAACTTATATTTTACCCACGTATTCTCTATCTCCGGTAAAAAAAATTTAAAAATCAAAAACAAAAGTTGAAATCAAAACTCTCCCTCTCTCTAATAAAAAGGCAAAAACAAAGTTCATCTACTAGCGCATCATTTTTTTGTCTCTGTAACGTAAAAAAAAATGAAATGTATTCAGGCACAAGTTATTCCTAATCAAATGATATTTAAACAAATAACACACATTTCAACACACATAATTAACTTTCTATTTACTTTTCCTCCCAATTTTAGAGAGATTGATTTTAATACGTTGAAAAAAAAACTCATTTATTCACTTTTTTTTTTTTTTTATTTTACTTCTGTATCAAAATTGAATTAATTTTTAAAAAAATTAATACTAAAAATAAAAATTTCTCATTTAATATTTCTATTTTAGATATCAAATTACTTGAGCCGCCGTGGTTGCAATCAATAGATACGGATAATAGCTAATGGGTGGCTATAACATACAAAAAGAGTTTGTCATGGCTTTTGTGAAGGGGAGAGAGAGAGAGTTGAGACTTTTTCTTGATTTTTTATACATTGTGTGTGATGTAACCCATTTGTTGTGAAAGAAAGAGAATCAAAGTACTCTTTACCTCTCACTTTCACTTTTCACTTTGCATTTCATACTAAAAACAATCACTCTTTAATGAAGTGGATGTTGATGGAGGGTGAGTGGGAAGAGCATTATAGGCTTTTTAATATGATCTGTCCCTCACCTGAAAAAGACATCCCTAGAAATAATGCAACTGTGGAGGATTCTCCTAGAAAGGGAATTGCTGAAAATTCAGTGATGTACCTACAAATTTCTTTACTTCTCTTTTTGGGTGAGAAATTTATTTTGCAAGTCTAAAACTTTAAATTACTGGGTGAGATCCGTTTCAGTATTTTTTTTTCTTCAATTTATGTCTTGTTAATCATATACCATACATTTAAATGGGACTTATTGGATATAAGTGAAACGATCAATCGTTAATATAGATGAAAAAAGGGTAATAAGCGATCATGAGTGTAGAAGTGTCAAAGTGAAAGTTCTTGGGATTATTGAACGTAAATATGTGCGCAAGCCTAAGCAAATAGGGTTAAAAATGGTAGATAATCTGTCAAGTTTAGTCTATGAATCTACCGTGGAACGTTCTCAATTCAAAGTGGACTTTTGGGTGAGAAATTTTGCATAGTCTAAAACTTTAAATCACAAAAATGACTCCCCTTTCAGTATACTTTGTTTTCAATTTATGTCTTGGTAAATCATATACCATGTCTTTATGTGAGACTTATTGGATATAAGTAAAATGATTAGTCGTTAATATTAGATGATTCGGCCAAAATATACATATATATATATATATTGAAAGAAATCTGAATTATTTATTTAATCAGTTGTGGGAACTAGGCTGGCCGAGCCTACACCATGGTGTCTTGCTGTTGATGTGCCTAAACATAACCATTTTGTGTGTGGGTGATTGATTTGAAATTCGATGGTCCAAGGCCATAACAAGCCTATGGAGATCTTGTCAAGCAATTGGATTTATTGTGGATGTTCCTATGGGAAAAAGACTATGTTAGGGCGTGTGGACGACGCGTTAAGATTTCCTATTGATGGAGGAGGGGCTCTAAACGATCACGATTGAAGACATGTCGAATCTATGAATAAGCCTATGCAAATAAGGTTAAAAGCGGTAGATAATCTGTCAAGTTCAATCTATGAATCCACAGTGGGACGTTCTTACTTCAAAGTGGATTTTTGGGGCAAAGCCTGAACCACATGTGCCTAATAATAGTGTAAGGAAACTAATTGAGTAGCGAATCACATCCACCGTTCTACAGATTAATGAAAAAAGGATTACCATTTGAATGAATGAGACAAAAAATGACAACATGCCTTTGACAGCCTGATCTACTAAATCCTCCAGTTCTAGGTAGCTCCAGAGAAAGGAAAGCCTTTGATCTTATACATAGCAAGTATGGGCCATTCCTTAGGCGCTTTGCTCGTACAAAAAAATGATGAAAGAAAGGCAGAAAAAGGCCAACTATTATTTAAGCTGCACGATGGAAAATCAAGGGAGATGAAATGCCAAAAAGCCTCTATATATCTCCTTTCTTTGATTAGAAACAATTCAATAGCTTACTTTAAGGGCCTTAACATCGAATAACATAACAAGCACCTACTAGCTTGTTTCGGCTCTTACTATGAGCTTAGTTTCCATAGCTTTAGGAGCCCTCTACATTTTTTTTCAAATTTGATTTTTTATAATTTATTTGAATTTTGTCAGGTTAATGGGCAGGCCGCCACATACTCGACGGGTATAATTGTGGGCCTTTCCCAGGCCAAACTTGCCAAAGCCTCTACCCCACTGTGTGGGCTATCTGCAGGCCCCAGTCACCACACGTAAGACCTAGATGACTCATGACCTGTAGGCCGTGGCCCATTTACCAAGGCTTCAGTTTAACCATATTGCTCCAAGTAATTGCTATTACTATCTCCCATAATTCGCCCAACCTTTTTGGCATATTTGCGTTTGTACTGGGCACTTGTGCGGGTGGGTGGGAGGGTGCGTGGTGGTGGTGGTGGGGTTGGGGGGCACAAGATTCACAGAGAAAACCTTCAAACATCCAATGAGAGTAACCCAGAGAAGAGCACCAGCCCAAGCAGTCCATTATGAGTTCCCAAGTACTGAAATCAAACTAAAATGAGAGTAAAACCACGTACCACTTATTTTTCAAACCTCTCTATAGACAGAAAGCCTTGCACACCACATACAAGTGTCAAACAAGAAGAACAAAAACGAACACTACCAAAAAAACTGTCAACTACCGAGGAACGAACTTAACGATATAAGTTTTGATGCACACAATAGCCTTTCATCATTTCTACTGCTCCTGTTGTTGGAGGGCTCTGATATAGTTTTGTTGAAATGCAAGATAAGGTTAATGCAAATGTCGTTTTAGTCTAGACCCCATGAATATACGCGTCTGAGGCTAAAAATATAATAGAAGTTATTTTTTGTTTTCATTCTCATTTCTATGCTTAACAAAGGAGCTGAGGCATGCTTATCAACAACTTACTAGTAACCAATTTCACAGACTAATGAAATCTTCTGGATAAAATATGCCTAGAAAACAGTATGTACCTTTCAAGATGTGCAAGTGGATATGAGAAGTTGGCATCTGCTACTTTGTTCATACTCAAATCTCATATTTGCCATTGCTACTACATAAAAGTACACCTCTTCCGTTGAGGCAGGTAGTAACCTAACCTTTAAGAGCATGTTCAAGGGAGGAGCCCTCTTATCTATAAATGGAAAGATCTCCATGTGTTGTGTGGCGTGATAAGGAATCCATGTACCTCGGCCTCGGGATGAACGCTGGTGTTGGGGTCCAAATACTGGAAATTCACTGTATGAGGTAGAAAGATAAGAGTAAGAAGCCTCACTTTGTTCCTTACATCCGAGGTGTGAAGTGAGAGAGAAGGGATGTCATAATTGAGATTTTGAACGAGACGACCTTTTTATCATTTTTATATGAAAAAGAATCCGGGCGTCGAGCTATTTTTCCGCGGGACCTCCATCTTTCTTATCATTTTTTTTGTTTATCATGCCATTCTCTAAGCCTCGAAACAGTAAGGTTGGCAAAGGCACTCAATAGCATGCATCAGCTTCCTCCTCGGTCCGACTGCATCTGCACCCATGTCCTTGAGTTTCTTCATTGTCAGATTCGCTAGCATAAATTTATTAACACTTTTACCCTGAAACATCTTTACAAACCGGTCAAGTCCAAGGGATGTTAGCCACCTGCTCAACCCACCAGCTCTTTGAAGCTTCCTCTCAAGATTTGATGCCCTCAACCTTTGATTTAGCAACACACCACGATCGAGGAAGCTCATGGACCGCTTGCCCAATTTTGAGGCACTGCAAACCCCAAGTGTCTTATGACATGGAACGCGATTAACTTGTGGATTTTCTGACCCCATCCTATGGACTGGTCTTGGTAGTGGTGGACATATTGGAATGGTTTGAGAAGAACTGTCTTTCCTAGCAGTCGGAAAAGCCTTTTCCGGGGCCAATGAGATGGACTTGTCTCTATCAAAAACTGAGGGCATCTGGAGAGAGTTGACAATTGGACATGGCACTTGGGTGCTTGTTTGTATGGGCTCAAGCTCAAGCTCGGGCTCGGGCTCGGGCTCGGGCTCAAGCTCAGGCTGTAGCTCTGGCTCAAGCTCAGGCTGTAGCTCTGGCTGACTTTCTCCGGGGTTAGTTATAGTCATCTGTTTGTCAACAGGTAATGAAGGAATCCATATGTTGACTTTCTGCTTCTTGACCATCACCCAACTATCTTCTAAAGGCAAGTCCAACTCATGAACTCCATTAATAGAGTCCTTTGCAGGTTTTCGCACCAGCTGTCTGTGTTTTGGTTTCGTCATTAGCTGCAGACCTGCTGGATAAGAAACATATGTATCATAAATTTCGTATCATGTATTTAAATAAAAAATGATCAAAATTTCAATTTAATACCCAGTAGCAGTGGGGTATATAATTAGTGGTAATTATTAATAGAAAACAAACAACCAACACATTGTAAGTTGGTAGCTGGTAGCTGGTTGAGTACAAAAGTCGAAAGCCTTTATATATCCTTCTTGAAAGGGAAAAGAATGAGAGAAACCAACACCTCCAAGAATTTTTTTGTCGGATCATGGCAAAAGATGCAGCAAGAGATCTACGCATAGCAGGTAAGTTAAATCAACATGAAAAGCAGTGCAAACTGCAAAGGCGATATAGAGGTAACTAAGATTATTAAGACCAAGATATGTTGGTTGCAGTGTTAAAGTTGACACATCATAAAGATCACTTTTGGTATACTGGAAGAATAATATCACGGGAGGAGAAAAGGCGAAAAAATAAGGCTTAATAGCCTTTGTATCCTTTACCATAGTTTGATTCTATTCATAAGCTCTTCATCCTCCGAGATGAACAAAAGAACTAAGGGAGGTGTCAGCTAAAGAAAGAAAGTATGACAACAGGAAGAGAAAAATAATAACTCCAGGGTATCCAGCACAATTCTGAGTTGCTTTCTGAACATAAAACACTAGTCCAGTTTCCACCGACTGAAGAAAAGGCAATTATTATCAACAAGATACCTTTATTCCTCCACCTCCAGAACAAAAAAAGTGAACTTTCAGCACCATCTTAAGTATCTGGTTTATCAAACATTGATCTCACCCTTATTTTTCCACAGATCATAGTGTATTTGGAATGATCTAGGCCAATGAGCAGAGGCACATTCGAGATATTTTGCTTCTTTTAACTACAGTCTACCACTAGATGCCACATTACAAAAAGACCCTCTGCACTAAGAAACTTAAAAAAGGAGAGAAATATGCAATAGAAATATGATTTGACAAATAAACATGCCCAGTTTCACTAATATAGCATGAAGCACTGCAAGTACTTCCCTTTGTTAAAAGCTGTGCAAGTTGGTATGCAATCTTCACAAAAAAGTCCAGTCCCAATTCCAATGAATAACTTCTCCTACAAAAGCTACACACCAACTTCAATATTTCATCCTGTTAAACTAAATGAACTTCCTGACTCAATGGCGTCATGATTCCAATAAAAATTGAACACACTTACCATCACAAAAAATCGTCAACCAAAGAAGTTCGCTTTGTTCTATTAGGAGCATAGGTGTATAATACTTAATAATTATATATAATTTTGTATAAGAGTAAAAATGATCTAAATTAGAGTTCTAATAGTGTACCAGCTAAGCCTATCCCATCAAACCGTGTACTAGAGAAAGTATTGTTCCGCGTTCCCATACCCGGTACCACATATCAAATGGATCCACCATCATGAGCCATTCTTTGAAGTTAGGTTCAATGCCAGACCTTTGAACAGCCAATTGTTCTTACTCCTCCACATCAACTGATTCCACCAGGCAAAGCGCAAAACATTTTATTTGTGATGAATATGCACAAAGCCTACCTAGCAATCCAGTTCCATCCTCATCAGCCCACACTCATCAAACACCTAAAAAGAGATCGACAGTAACAAAGTATTCTATAGGCGACAGCACTCACAATTTCACATCTAATCTATCCTATTTCAGTTTTTATTAGCTTATATCCTACAAAATCAAGCTCTAACTATCCAGGGTTTTCGTGTACAGTCACATTTCCGTATAAACCTTGAGGATTTCTCCCCATAAACGAACACCTTATACACCTTATAGGCTTATAACATCTAGCTTGTTAGAAGATTTGCGAGCTGAAACACGAGATTTTTTTCAAATGGTATCTGAATATAGATGCAGATCAAAGAAATCAATTTGAATGGCTAATACCCAGTAATCACAATCAAAAATATATTGCATCCGCAAACAACTTCCATAGTTTAGTATAATGGATAATCAACAAAAGGACATTATGAATGCAATTTACTAACCCACATCATTTTACGGGCATAGAAACAGTCAAAGTACTAGATCAGTCCCATGTCCAATCTCATAATGCAAAGTGAATACGGGTACATAAACACACATTTTGGGGGAAAGTTGGTTGGTTCAATCAAGAAGGTCTTAGAGAAAACTTACTTGAAATGTCGAAGAGTGAAGTGGGCGATCAATGGGTCCGTCGATAACTGCTGATGAGAAGCTTCGAAGGAAACCAATAAAATGTTCCAGATCGGACACAGTGGAGAAAGCAAAGTTTTTGCATTTCTGTTGGGGTTTTCTGTGTGTGTGCGTGTGTGTGTTTTGGGTAGTTTGGTCAATTTCTTTCTTTCTTTTTAGGGTTAATTGTAAATTGCACATCGTTCAAATCTTAATTTATACCCCTCAAATATTAAAAATCTCAATTTATAATTTCAAACATAAAAATTTATATCAATATGCACCACCAAAGATAAAAAATCTTAATTTGTACCCTCAAAAATAAAAATTTGTATCAATATGCACTTAAAACTAACCACCGTTAGTTTTCTGCCTAAAATTATATTGATAAATTATATCTAGATCCCCTCTTGCTTGTTACTTAATTATCTGAACCCCTTCACAAAATAAAAGGTAATATGAAATTATAATTTTTTACTAGAATATAACTATATTTTTTAATTGTTATAAAATCTTAATAAAAATATTCTCAATCTAAAATGTCTCTCCAATTGGACATTCAAATAATTATGTTTAAGTGATATATTTCATTGTATATAAAAAATATTATATAAATATCTACATTCTATTAGACGTTCAAATGGTAAGTTTGATTTTGAATTTTAAAATATATCGGACCCACAAAATAAAGGGTAATATAAATTATAATTTTTTATTAGGATAAAATCATATTTTTTAATAGATATATTAATATATATCAACGAAAAATATTTACGTGTTACACGTGCACAAACGTCATGAGATGTAAAAATAATATGCTAAATGTGAAGGGGTCTAAATGATTAAGTGACAAGTATAAGGTGATCTAGATATAATTTATTAATTTAATTTTATGTAGCAAATTGACGGCGATTAGTTTTAAGTGCACATTGATACAAATTTATATTTTTGAGGGTGTAAATTAAAATTTTTGATTTTTGAGGGTGCATATTGATACAAATTTATATCATTGACGACGCAAATTAAATTTTTTTATTTTTGAAGGTATAAATTGAGATTCGAACGATCTTTCAGGGTGTAATTTATAATTAACCTTTCTTTTATTTTGTTTTTGTTTTTTTTTTACCTGAAATTAAAATATTCACGAGAGATAAAATTTATCATGGTCTGACAGACCTTAAAAGACTATCAAGATTTAAAGTCAGGACGTTGAAATTTTTTTTTTAACAGAAGAATAGATATAATTTTTACACTCAATTTCAATTATACTCGGGTTAATTTTTAGTTTATAAAAAAAAAAATTTGAGTGTGAGTTCGATTTAGAGATAATATGGTATTAAAGTTAAATTTTAGTGTTAAATTTTTGATTCATAAGTTATATGAGATAGCGCGAACACGATAAAAACTAAATAAATCAGGTCAACACGACACGATTAATTAAATATGAGCAATGTTGTTGAAACATAATTTGCTGACCTAATTTATTATGACTTTTGGATTTATGTGAGGTCCATCAAACATTAGAACTTGGTTTTGATTCAATTATTTAACTGAAATTATATCATTATGTTAACAAATTAAATCAAAATTTTATATTTAAATAACATTACTTATTAAATATATTATGTTTGAATTAATTACGAATTAATAAATAACACGACATGAATATAATCAACCCGGCAAGTTTGCCACTGCTGACACTCATTACTCTCCCCTAAAATAATGCTTGACCCAAAAATAAATAAATAACGGATGAGACTATTTTCACTTAATAAATTATTTTTTTCACCCCATTTAATTATTTTATTTCAAACTACTGTACTAAATTCACCCCATTAAATATTAAGTTCATCTCATTTATAATCACTTCATTAATTATTAAGTTTATCCCATTTATACCAATTCAATTAAACTATTAAATACATGTCAAAAAATTCGAAAACAAAAATAATAATTGAAGTGAAATTTCAATATTTCGAAGTGATTTATATTATTTCAATGTATTTTTAGATATTTTTATAAATATCTTTTAAATATTTTGAAGTGTTTTAAGATATTTTAACTATTGTTTTAAAAATAATTATTAAATTTTATTTTATTGCTAAAATATTTGTATACCAAAATGATTTAGCAAAACAAATTTGAAAATATATACGGAATGAGTTTAGTAAAAAATGAAGTGAGTATATATAAGATGAACTTAATAATTTAGAATAAGATAATTAAATGTGGTAAAAATGAGATTTAAGAAATAGAAATAACCACACCCTTCAACCATAGATCTTACGGAACAGTTCTATTAACACGTGGCTCTCATTAGTGGAAAAAATATTGGGTATAATGGTGATACTATGTTATTATTATCACACAATATTATTATTTAATAAAAATATAATAAATAAATAGATGTATTTCACATATTATAATAATTACTATGATGTCATTTAATAATCACTTAAATCAAGTTTTTTTTTTTTAAGTCTCACATAAAAGAGTCAAATAGAGACTTTTAGATACATTTACACACCCAAAATTACCCGAACGCGGGATAGCCTAGTCTCCCACCTCCTCGGTATAATTACCATGACCGCGGGGCCCACCTAAATCAAGTTGACCTCCCTCATATTTACTCCCTCTCGTGACTCTCTCTGTCTATACACGTGCATTGCATGCAACCATCATAGATACTCTCACCACGTTCGCAGACATGAAACCTAAGCCCGCGAAAAATGGGAGTTTGTTGTTGCATATTTTGACGAAATCTCCGCCCCTCTCAGCTGCAAATCTAGGGTTCTGTTTAATCTTCTATATCAAATCAAAAAACCCATTAATGATTTTCCAATCTAGGGTTTAGATTTTATGTTTTTGCAGTTGTTAGTAATGCTGTGTTTGGTAGGGGAGAGAAGAGAGAAGCCAAGATGAAATTTGGGGAGGCTTTTATGGAGTATCTCCATGGAGATCAAGAGAGATTATTGGATAAGTGCTCTCACGTTGAGTACAAGAGGCTCAAGAAGGTTTTAAAAAGCTGCAGGACTTGCAGGGCATTGAAGGATTCCAAAGGAGAAGAAGATGATGAGAGCCGTACATTGGCTCAGTTTTGCCAATTTGAATCTTGTCCATGTAAGCATTATTATGTTTACTCTCTCTCTCTCTCTCTGCACACACATATATATACTACCAATAATCCGTGTCTCAACATACTATGCAATATCAAAAAAATAAACAATGATCTTGCAATATTTATATTTGAAATTGTCATTTAGTTTTTTTAATTACGTAAATTAAAATTAAAATGAAGGGAGAGGTAGGTGTAGATTGATGAAATTATTTGATTTTGCGGAGTATGTTGATTGAGTTATTTGATATTGGGGGTGATGCTGACAAGTTTATATTTTTGGGCTGGAAGAAATGAAATTTTAGGGATGAATTTTGTATTGGTGGATCAAAATAGATGAATATTGAATTAATCTCGATCGTTGTTGTATTTTTATAAACTGAGAATTCAGCTTCATTGCATTATTTCCAATGTGCTTGGTTTATGTAAATTTCCAGGTTTTGCCGGAATTGTCTAGCATACTGACGAAGATTAGGTACTTTGAGATTCTAAATTCGCATATAAAGGGTAGCTAACTATAGGGGTAAGACAATCCATGAACAATCAAATCTCTGTCTAGTCCTGGAGTATCCTTGTAGGACCAGGCAAAGACTTCCCTGAGAGGTTTCTTCCTCAAAATTCAAATTCCCTTCCTTTTAAAGATTTGTCTCTGAAGGACACCACTTTTTCAGTTTTCCTCTCTTTCTGCGTGTGTGTGTGTGTGTAATATGGGTTGCCCCAGTTACTATGGTTGGTGAAGGAGGCACGTCTTCATCAAGCTCTCGAACAAAGAAGCTATGCACCAAAAAAGAGAAGTTTTTGATTAGGGATTGATGTTTCGGGTTTTCTGCTCGACAGTTAGTATGGAGTGGAAGTCTTGAAGAGTAGCAACACTATGTGTTGAGAAAGGTCTCAGACTTTCTTTCTTTTTTTTTCCACGCTTGGTAACCTCTAGTTTGAGCAGGAAAACCACAAGCTTGTCTCTCGCCTAGCAGGTGAGAAGAGTTGATAGCAAAGTGGTGAACAGACGCGTGGAAATCTATCGAACAATTCAGGCCAAATCTAGAAGAAAGTTCAAAAATGCTGTTTGATGAGCCTGCATAGTATTAGGTAGTTGGTCAAGTAAATTAAATGAATATATTGATCCCAAAGATATCAACGGGCTTGCTACTTTTAAGAACATTCACGTAACCTTCCCCTTTTCTTTTTGGTATAAATGAGCATGGTGTTTCAGAAGGCATGCCCGAATTAGGGTTTTTTTAGAACACATAAGTAACAGTGATGAATTAAGGGGCTGTGGCTGGTCTCAAAAAAAGGAAAAGAAATGGCTGCAGCAGATGACATAAAATTAGAGGAAACTATTCATCAGGTACAAAGGCTCTACTAACTATTTATTGGCTGTGAGTTTACTTGCTATGAATTTTAATTGCAGTTTACGTGAAAAATGTCATTGCTACAATATTTGATTAGGTTCTCCTAATTGGTTGTTCCGTCAGTACCAATAATTTCACTGCAGCATTGTACCTGTTCAATTAGATATTCACATAACCTGCGAATATAGAGAAGTAACTGTGTATTGGGATATGACTCGTATACAATACGACTGATTCGGAGTATAAGATAGTTGGATGGGAGGAAGAGCATCAATGGCTATATAATTTATTTATTAAAGAAAGCGTAATCTCAAATTAACTATAAATATAGTATCAAACAAAATTGAAAAAAAGAAAGAAAGGAAAAAACTTCATGCAGGATCCTTTGCAATGGAGTGAATCAACATTTGAGTTGAAGGTGGTTCTCCCTTGGAATGAAGAAGTCCACATGTCTATAGGCGGCTGCAATAGACCTGCCCTATGTCTCAGAAGGTGTATTCACTTTGTAGCCTTCTGTTTTAACCTATATTGAATATCTACTTTACGTTTGGTTAAAAAATTGGTGTTAAATATATTGAATGATTGAATTCTCATTCTTTTGATATTTAAATTAAACATAAGTTGTATTAAATCTTAGGTTATGCACATGAAACATGTATGTAATTTCCAGCTATTATGGTGGTTTGTTGCCTTATGTTTGTTTAATTATGATTCTTTACTGTGAATATGCTATGACCTATCTTTTCATGTAGCAACAAATGCTGTAATGGAGCTTTGTGTATCCTGTAGTGTGCGATCAGAAGTTCTTCTCTGAATTGGTGAAGGAGGCTTCTGATATAGCTGGATGCTTCCATTCAAGGGTTAGGCATCTTCTCCATTTGCATATTGCAACTGGAGCACAAAGATACTTGGTACGGTTGCGTCAATGTTTCATGAATGATCAGCTGGCGATGGTACAAGAGGGTCAGATGCTAATTGAATATGTTACAATGAATGCTATTGCAATGCGGAAAATCCTTAAGAAATATGATAAAGTAAGAAAAAAAATATGGTTCCAACTCTTAAATATTTGTTACTCTATAGCTCTTCACGGTGTTGATAGTTTTTCTTCATAAATTTGATTTATCCTATGAAAACCTTGTTGTAGGTTCACGGCTCTGTGAATGGCAGAAACTTTAAATATAAAATGCGGGCTGAGCACCTAGAGATTCTGCAGTCACCTTTGTTAATTGAACTTGGGGCTTTCTATATGAATTTTTTTGAATCTAACAGTGGAAAGTCTGATGGTTTTTCTCGTCCATTCTCTTGTGATCTTAGCACTACAGAACCAGTGGTGACTTTTATGCTTCCAGATTCCGTGAAGTTGGAGTATCACCTGACATGTGCTGTCTGCTTGGTAAGGTCACTCTTGACTGTAATTCGAAAAGGAAAAAAATAATACTTCGTATTCCTTTTCTTTTTTGGTTGATGACTCTTACTCACGTGTAGTTGCTCGGGTTCATCAGGAAATTGTTTTTAATCCTTATGCTTTGAGCTGCGGACATCTTTTTTGCAAACTATGTGCTTGCTCGGCGGCTTCTGTGATGAGCTTTCAAGGTGTTAAGGCTGCAAGTCCAGAGTCGAAGTGTCCAGTTTGCAGGGAGGTTAGAATTTTGATTTATTTGTTGTTGCTTGATCAATGTTGTGACGTTGTGTGATCTGATTCTCTAAACATTTTTACTATAACTGAGGCAGAATAATATATATACTTTTCTATGTTTGACTGAAGGTCGGGGTATATGCTAATGCAGTGCACATGATAGAATTGAATATGCTTTTGAAGAAAAGGTGAGTGAAATTTGTTGAAATACTACTTATTGTCATCGAGAAGAGGACTTCTATCTATGCAACCTTTTGAAAATTTTAGGTGTAAAGAGTATTGGAGGGAGAGGCAGCTCGCAGATCGTGCTGAGATGGTGAAGCAAACGAAGGAGTTTTGGGATTTGCAAACCAAGTATATGATTGGCTATTGATGCGAGTCTCTTATATTTGACAGCTGAAACTTCAAATCTTTTAGCTTTTTGCGGATGAGGCGTGGACTTGATGTGCATCTTGAAGCATGCCTGGCCTGGGCCACGTAATAATTTTCATGAACTGTTTTCTTGATAGGAGGACATCATTCTTAATTTCAGTGTCAAAGAGGAGGAAAGTTGAGGGGGATTTTCTGCATCCTCACGCGGGTAATTTTGATGTCCAAATGCTTGCTTTATGAGGTTGTTTCTGTTTAGATATTGGGATGTTTGAAGATTTGTCTGCAATCTCACTGATGAAACAGAGAATTCTGAACTCCTTGATGATTTTTTTGCCAATAATGAATGATTTGACTGCTTGATGAATCAGTTGATTATTGTTTATGTTGCAAGAACATTGTCTAGAGTTCTTTCATAGTCGTAATGCAAATCAAGGATGCATGTGAATCAACTTCTTGTCATGGCTTTATCTTGCTTATACCTCAATTGTATTGTCAATCATTTCTCAACTTAAAGGAGGTGGATGGGCATTCATGCCTATTTGCTAAGCATGTGTAAATTATTACAACCACTGCCTACCATAAAATGACTTCATGTGTGTGGAGGGGCCACATTCTACCCAGACAAGGCAAGTTCAACTCTTTCGGTTGTATGGCCTTGCTCAATTACAAACAAGTTTGGTAGCAATACTGGTGTAAATCAACTGCTACAGAGTGAGGAGATGTGACAAGACCCTACCTCTTGCTTCCAGTAGGTAGTAAATGATGCGACATGATCCTACTTTGTGCTTCCATTAACCAGTAAACATATGAGAGTAAATTGATATGAATCGGTTTAATGGTCAAAAGAACTACAAACGAGACATAAATTCTTAGTTCAAATTCTCTGGCTATATAAAAATTTGAATTTTATTGATACACGTCTTTGAAAAAGTGACGATGCACATTTGAACTTTTCTGTTGGAGCCATGAGTTGATAGAACACTTAGTTGGGATGATAAACTGTTAATTTAAAAAAAAAAATTGGAAATATTTGAAGGGGATTAATGAAATGAAAGAGGGCATTAATTCCAAGGATAGTTCAAATGGTTTTAAAAACAAGAATTCGAATCTTGATAATTTATTGGGGTCAGGTCATAAGGAATTTATCCTAAGATTCTAGTCCCCGTGTTAATGACTTACTTTTGACCGGATCGATGAGGGGATTAATCAATGTGCATACAAACTGACTTGAACATCCTTAATAAAAAAAAATAAAAATAAAAATAAAAAGGAGCATCCTTTTTATTTTGATATCTTTTAGGCAAACAAAAAAAAGGGT